AAACGCATTTAATTTTTTTCATATGACCCTCCCTACAGTCGAGGGAAAAATTAAATTATTCGATTTTATTGCACGTTGCATTTGTTTTGAATTAAATTGTAAATCATCAGATAACAAGGATTCATCTAAATTATTAATTATAATATCCTCGTTCAATGTTTCCAAATTTTCAACATCAATATTTGATGAAGCAATATCTGCATCTAATATTTCACCAACATCATTTAATGTTGTAAATAAATCCTGGTTTATCATTTCATTAGATCGAAAAAATTCATTTTCAAGTTCATGTTGACGATAACGAAGCTTATTAATTATCATTTGAACTTTATCTAATAAATCTGGTACTAAAATCATATGAGGAAAAGAGTCTTTCATTAACCAATTGTGAATACCATGACCAATGCAAAATGTATGTATTACATTTAATAATTTCCATGCTTTACGCATGTTTGAACCTTGATCAGAAACCTACACAAAGAAAGATGAAAACATAGCGCGAATGTTTCATGAAAAATTTCTCTCACCACAATTATATTATTGGAATTTAGACCAAATTCATGTCAAACAACTAAAACAAGATCTTTTATAGCTTCACCTGTATGAGATTCATCAAATGGTTGTGTTTTCAAACTATAGTGGTGGTATTGTAAATTTGAATCAAGATAATGTATTGTAAAACAAATGTATGAACGATGCTTATATTTATCACACCATGTATCACAAGTTATGGTAGGAAATTTTATTGATAATTTTAATATTTCTTTCATTTTTTGATAATATACATCGTAAATTTTATTGAGATTTATAGGTGATAATGTGGTACGTGAAGGGATTTCAGACTTTGAAGAAACAACTTTGTTGGAAATCAGAAAATCTTGAAAACCTAAGAATAAAAACACTAAATGAATATGTATATAAAGCTCTTCAAAAATATTTACCCTCATTTTCAACTATAGAAAATGGTAAAAGATCTCTACAACACATTAATGCTAATTGATGTCCTAGTTGTTGTTTTAATTGTGAAGATTTTGTTGAATGACGATCACGAGAAAACATGGAAAGAATATGTTGATTTGTTATTTTTGTTTGTTGTGGTTCTTTTACTTGGTGGACTGATAGTAAATGATTTTTCATATTTCCTGTACCACTTGTATTGCTATAAATGCCAATAAGTTTTCTAATTGAAAAAAAATTAATATCAGGTTGATCATCTTTCAACTTGTCAAAACAAATTTTGCAATAAACATGTTCATTATCAACTGACTCATTCGGCTTTTTGTACAAATAACCGAAATAATTCCATACGAACGAAGGTTTTGGTACATTAGGTATGTTTATCTTGATAAACAAATTTTTACTTGCACAATAAATATTTGTCATTTCGACTGCAAGACGAACCTAAAAATGAACAAAAAACCAAAATTATTAATTTATCAAAAAAAAGCACCTACAAAATTATTAATATTGAACAAGCATCACCGAAACTAATGACAAATGAAAATTATCAAAACCATCAAATTTTGAGTACGAAATATAACTTGAATTGCTAATAAATAAAAAAGAAACATCAAGATTATTAATAAGTGAAAAAAATACAACCACTGAGAATACAAATAAATGAAAAATAAATATAACCACCAAGAATATTAACAGATCACAACAAATACTATGACCAGGATTAATAATAAGTGAAAATTCACTACTATCGCCAAGAATATTAATAGATGTACAATAAATATAACCACCAAGAATATTAATTAATGAAAAATAGATATAATCACCAGGATAAATAATGGATGAAAAACCACCACCGTCACGATTGTTAATCAGTAAAATCACCTAGCGTACACAAGTTTGTGCTTTTATTTTGTTTTTGTTAATCGAAACTTATAATAATGGTCTCTTCTTATATATAATATAATAGACATAAACAATTGAAATGATTACTTAGAACTTTTAACCAATACAAAATTAAGGAAAAAATAAATAAAAAGTTGTCGATATTTATGATAGGTGTCAGCGGCGGCGGCTCGAAAATTTGAAAATTTCGAATGCCATCGGCGGCGCGGCGGCTGGAATTAAAGTGTCTCAGCGGCGGCGGCTTATAAATTTTAAAAATTTCTAGGGTCACGGCGGCGGCGGCTTTAAATTTTATCTGTTAACCGGCGGCCGCGGCGGCTCAGCCGCACGGCTTACACCTCTACTCGTGGACCAAAATATGTACTACCATGTCAAAGTTGATTTTACAACAAGAAAAAAAGAGACAACTTGATTAAAAAAGAACATGAAAATATTATGGGTACAATTACAGAATTTTTCCGTCAACATCGTTATTGTATATCACAAAAACGTATCGATGAATTTTCAAATGATCTTGAAAATCTTCTTCTACGTCTTTATACAAAAAAATTATCACGAAAATTATCTCTACGTGCTAAACGTGAACATAAATTAATTATGAGTATTCGTCGTTATTTACGCAAATATCAACAAGTGATTTTACGACGAACAGATAAAAGTAAAGTATTTCATTTAGGTGATGCACATGATTATCAAAGAAAAGTACTTGAATATATGCAAGAAACAGAAGCATATGAAGAAATTATATCGGGTGTTTCACCATTATCAGCCAATTTGCAACAAGTTACTGTATTACTTAATCAATTGTACCATGCTGAAAAACCCTTAATAACTAAAAAGCAATATGAAGCAATGTATCCAAAAGAAAATGAAACTGAATTGACCCATCTGTATTTTATACCAAAATCACATAAAGTATAAATATTTTTCTTTATACATATGTAAACTTCTACTACAATACGTTTCTTCTAGATTGGTACACCATTACGACCGATCGTAGCTGGAATTCATGCCCCAGCTATATTAATATCCAAATATCTTGATGATTCACTTCGTTCTGTTTTTAATCGTGTTGCACGAAGAAGAATCTATATCAATAGTTTAGATCTTATGAAACAATTAGAAAACTATGAAAGACAAGGTCATCTATTGTCAACTACAAAATTTATTACGGCTGATGTAAAAAATCTTTATACAATGATACCCAAAGGTGGCGCATTAGATGCTTTATATCGATTTTGTGTTAAACATGGAAAAAATGGCAAAATTGGCAATTTATATGTCAATACCATTATTCCATTGGCATGTCTTGTATTAGATACCAATTGTTTTGTATTTGATAATAAATATTATAAACAAATTCGTGGCGGGGCGATGGGCTCACCATTTACAATGACATTAGCTAATATCTATATGTATGAATGGGAACAATCATTACATCAACATCAACAACAACGAAATCAACTCTATGGCCAGTAATTTGTTTTCTTTTCAAAAAACAAAAGACAAAATGCGATGTACCAATATTTTTTCATTGTAGGTATATCGATGACATATTTATGACGTCAAATGAACCTGTTGAAAATATTAAAGCATTACTTGATCGAGAAAATGCAAAAGATCCAAATATTCGTATTACTTATACCATTCATGACTCTGTTGAATTTCTTGATGTCCTAATCGAAAATATTCAAGGACAATTAAAAACATTAGTTTTTCGTAAACCAGCTGCCGAACCATACATTGTACCTATACGTCGGATCATCCACGTTATATTCATTCCAATACAAACCATACAGCGTTACTTCGAGGTATTCAACTTTGTTCAGACGTAGAAACATTCGACCAAGAACGATTAAATATTGAAATAGCCCTACTCTTAAATGGATATCCACTAAATTTTATCAAACGTCATTTAAAACAATGCTTTAAAAATCATAATGTTATGTCAATCTATCAAGATTTACATGCAAAAACCTATAAAAAACTACATCTACAACTACTTGATGAATCATTAACCTATCATACAGGATCAAATCCACCAGAAGAACAACAACAAAAACAATATGCACAAACCAACCAACAATGTCAAACAACCACATCGAAAAAACAACCAGACATCATTATACATTACCAATATGAAAGTGGCCCAGTAAAAACTTTCAATTCAGAATTCCGAAAAATTTGGAAAAAACATTTCTGTTACCCAACATCATCACTTAATAATGTTCGACTCATCCTCGATACTAGAATCAATAAAACAATCGAAGACTTACGAGTCAACAAGAAACCACCTCGGAATCTACTCCGGAATCTCGATTGCAACTCAACATGACCAAATGTAAAAACATGAAACTAAAACAGTATTGTTATATTTTTGTTATATTTCTTGTACATAAACATATTATATCAGTAAAGACATCTGAACATTAAGAGCAAACCTGTAGACTACTCAGCATTTTCATCATTATCAACACTGCTTAAGAAATTTTCCATTTCCATTTTAGATAACTATTATACATACATCACAGAAAAACAATGAAAACCCACACAAAAATATAATATAAAATCCACCAAAAAAAACATATAACAACAATCAAAACAAATAGAAAATACGCGGGATCACAAAAAACATAACAAGCAAATGAAAGATCTACCAAACTCAACTAAAGCAAAACATAAGAACAAACTCGACTATTATAATTTGAAATCGACAACCCCCATCATAAGTCTACATAGAAAAAACGGCCAATTATCGATGACCATGCAACCATACCAGGTAAGACAAAAACTCCCATATAGAAAACAACACCAACATCCTATCATACAGTATACAGAAAAACGATACAGAAAACATAAAACTTCCCATAGAGGAACAACAGACCCCATAGAAACTGAAAAAAAAACAATACCACATATAAAAACTAGAATAAAAACACACCCGCCTAAAGTTCTAATACGAACCAAACACATTTCATTTCCCAAAAGCAAACGAATCGGCAACATATATGTTCACACATCATTCATATTAATTTCAAAAAATTTCCATTAAAAAAAAACTAGACATTCAATTCTATAGTAGACTAAAATTAGACTCAAGTTAATTTTACTTGAAAATTTTAACTTGTGCAAATGACTATATATTAATTATTATATTGAACGATAATCCCTATGTTATACATATTTAACTGAATTATCATCTAGTAGATATAATATTAAGTGATCCACCTGATGAAGTCCCGCCAAGACAGAAACAGCGTTGTCGTGGAACGGCGATTTATTCTGAATCACACCCACACCCTTCAGAAAATTCAGTTGGCTTAGCGTTGACCGAAATTAGTTTATCAATAAATTCCGTACATCTTTCGATCGATTCAGGTTTCTCTTTATCATATTTCGGAGCATTTTTTAACCACAGTAGAGCATGAATATGTGGCGAGCCACGGACTTGGAATTCAACTCTGTCATATTTATCTTCTAATTCATAGCCTTGAAATGGACCACAAGGTGCCGATAATATCTCCCATAAGCATTTTAATCTATGTTCAAAATAACGAACGCATGTTACAGGATCATTTCTTATCAAATCACATTTCTTTTCGTAGCTCATATTTTCTGCCTCCTCTAATGTTATCACTTTATTTTCCAACACTTCAGTTAATATTACAATTAGTTCTGATCACTTTGTCTCTGCTGCTGATAATGTTAGAAAAATAGTTGCACATCCTAATTGCCTGATCATTGCCATAACCTCCTTTTTCTTTAGTTCCCAGAACGCTGGTGAAGATCGATCACATCTCAAGAATGTAATAGCATCATCATTATGAATCAATCCATTGACATAATCTCGATTGAGCATTTGTGCAACAGTTATGTTTTTTGTATATTTTGTCTTTCTCAAATTTATTGAAATAGCATCGGAGAACTTTCTCGTTTGTAGTTTCTTATATGTGAAAAACAATTTCGATATTCTACCACATCTTCGATCAAACATTCTTAATTCTGACTTTGCAATCTTAGCATAAGTTAATTTAACATTCGCTTTGATTTTTCTTTGCTTACCACAATAAATTTTCGGAAATGTTAATTCATCGACTTTTAAATCCATTGAAATTGATATCAGCCTGTTATTCTCTCCTGGAGCAAATTTGATACCAATATCATTCTGATCACCAATCTCGTCATTTAATAATGTTTCAGTAGTACTTGGATTAACTGGTTTATCGTCACATTCACTCCATTTGTCCTCGTCATCAAAATCTTTGCTGATGTTTTCATTTTCATCGAATTTCTTATCTTCATCATCGATGATGAAATTCTCTCTCTCGTTAGAATATTCTTTCAGTCAAGCATGAGATATCACAATTCCTTCATCTTTATACAGCTCTTGCTCAACCAAATATTCTACAGCAGTATGCACAACTTTTGGTCAAACTGTTTCATACATAAAAGCATTTTTATTTTTCATTTGTCTCATGAGTTTCAATTGAATCGTGTGAGTATCACTGAAACTTCTAGGCAATACTGGAACATTCGTATCAACATTTATGGGAACATTTACAAGGTTACCCTTTAGAACGAATTGTTTACAAGAACTTAAACTTCGAATAACCATAAAAGGAATTCTTGGTGATATTAATCTTTCCTCTAATTCAGTCAAGATTTTCAAACAATTCGGTACTTCATAGAATGCTAAACTATTAGATAGACTGAGATTAGGTAGCTTATTAGACATGATGTCCTTTCTACGAGTGACACATAATTTAATGATCGCATGTTTTAGATAACAAACTGTATCAATAAATTCTGCTTTTAATCCTTTGTTTGTTAACATCTCAACTGTATATTCTCTGATTGAATACTCAAACCATAAACCACCGCAACAGCTACCAATATGAGTAGGTCCTTCTTTTATTTTTGATTCATAATTTGATTTCATGCCATCAAAATTACTTCTGTATTTATCTCTATTATTGTGTATTCTTAATGCATTTCTTCTTCTCCCTTCTTCTTTGAATTCATCATCTTGTCGTTCAATTTTACCAGAGTTTGCTCGTCTTCTATTGTCTAACAAGCGAAATTCATCATCAGCTCTTCTTTCTCTCATTCTCAAAATACTTTTGATATGACTGATTTTTTCCGGACCGTAGATAATGAAATAAAATGCGATCAAATTAGTCGTTAAAATTTTAAATGAAAGCAGCTTCTGACTCAGATTACGCACGTGTATATACCGAGTGCGTCTTCTACTTAGTGAGACACGCGTTTATCTCTAAACTTAGTGAGATAAAAAAAATGCAAAAGTTTCTTTCGAGATAAATCTTCGTTAAGACTTGGTGAAGAATATATACTCGATACGAAGCAAGAAACGTTTAGAGAATCAGCAACTTGATAATCTTTTTTGAATGATAAAAGTTCCATTTTTATTTCCTTTATTTGATTGAAAATAACTAAAATCTAAAAATGAAAAAAAACAAACTAATGAGGATGATTTTAATAACGGAAAGAATTTCATTTATAAATGAAAATAAATGCTAAATTAAATTTTGATTTAGTTTGTATAGATTGTCTTTTATTGAGTTCAAGATATGAATCAAAAACAAAGGAATGATTGAAACAAGTATATATGTTTGAGATAAAACTTCTTTTTATTCGATACAAGAAAAAAAATGGTTATAAACAATTTTTTTCATAAGTGTACAATATGTGTTTTTTAGATGTCTTTTATTCATCTGATGAAGAAAAAAAACGTCATATTGATATTGTTATTAGTAAATGACGAACAAGAAAAGTTTTATTTTTTTTTTAAAGTTTCTATAAATAATTCGGCACTAAAATGAAAAATGCAGTTTAATTTAAGCCAAATAAAAAATTAATTTAAATCATACATTGTTGATTTGAAAACATCTTTCAACATTTCCATTTGTTGTTCATTATTTTCTTTTTTTTAGGAATTTTTGACAATTGAGAAATACTCTTGATATTTCTCTCTGTTATTTGGATATTAACAGCTTCAAGACCTTTAATTGCTATAAAACAGAGAAGTATGATTTATTTTATGATGAAAGTCAGATAAATTACTTTTGATTACATCGAATTTACATTTATCCGATAAGAAAAACTTTCTTTGATAAGATTGGTTGATAATCGATGCTTCTCGAGCAAATATGTCTTTTTATTGATTTTTATCATTACTGCAAAATATATGAGATAGAAGGTGAAAAAATGAGAATAGATGATAATTACAGTTTAAGAAAAGCATAATGCTTAACTCAATTCACTGTAACAATTGTTCCATGAACTCCTGTTTCTGAGAAAAGAATATATTCTTTTAGTTTTTTAATTTTCAAGATGTATTACCAACAAGAACAGGTTCATTGCTTATAGGAATAAGTACTTTATTTTTGCTTCGAATGATTGTTGGGTCACCAAGTAGATCTTAGGTGTCATGCTTTGATTTAGGTCTTGGCCTCAATCTCTTAAGCTGATACGTGTGCCACTTGATAAGATTTGAGTCAGCAACATCGAAATACCAACGGTATTGTGGTAGCTATAACACTCACACACACACCCACACCCGGACAATGGCATTCGCTGTAGGAGAGTCCATACTTCAGTAACATCTTTATAGTCAAAAGCAATTGATAAGATCTCTTAGAGCGCTTATCGAAACCTGTCTTGCTAGCCTTTTTTGATTATATTTTCAACCTACAATATAACTTATACACAGCCACACCCACACCCACTTCTTTGATAGCTTGAAAAACAATCATCTCGATAAATTCACATCACTTTGCCGTATTTTCATTTAAAGTATTTATTGAAAATATAAAAGCAAGTATAAATGATGATTAAATGTTAAAAGAAAGACGCTAAAAAGGCAAAAACCATAATATACGCTACAGCAAAATAGAGAAAGAAAAAATTAAAAACTACGGGACTAACTACTAATAAAACCTTCACCATTGATTAGTAATCTTATATTATATGAAAGTAATCTAAGATCAATTAGAGTTTGTGTTCAATAAGATTTTCAAATGCTAAAAAGCCTTTTCATAAGTACAAACGACAGGAACCCTCTTCAAGATTAGACTACTTTGATATAACAACGAGAGTTTATGACGATAATAAGTTCTGTAAGAATTTAGAAAGAAATGAAATGAGAGCGTTTAATATCCGAAGTCACTTGATGAACGTTGAACACAATTTTCAACATGTTAATCACGACAACAACAATAATAACCATGATCATTATCACAAGTAATAACACTATCAATAGGAAAAGTATCATTATCAGCAAAAGGAGTAGCAGGAAAACCAGCAAAACTAGTACAGTTTGAACTGATTGGAATAATATCACAACCATTACTAAAAGGAGCACAAAAAGCACTACAACTAGGATTGTATCCAAGTGTATATCTCAGTTCATAACTCACTTCCTAGTGAAGTGGGTTACTCGTTCATATGAGGAGAGATCTATTGACAAATGAATTGAAACAATCAGGATTCCACTCAAGTATATCATTCACTTCGAAGTGAAGTGTGTTACTCGATCATCTCAGCAGAGATCTATTGACAAATCAATCGTTCTAATTAACAGGATAACGAAAACTAAAATAAATAGGATCACCATTAACATTATAAAAACCACCACCAGCAAGACCACCAAAATCAACATCAAAAAAAACACCAATAGTATCATTAAAGGTACAAGCATCACAAGGTGAAAGTGTTGTTGTTGTTGTTGTTGTAGTGCCTTAATGAATATAATGTATTTTAGAGTAATTTAAAGCTTCGTGTGCTGCAATATCTGCGTAGTGCGTTGGGAAATCTATTTCTGTCTGCTTCAGCATTTTTATATAGAAAAACCTTACCATTTGACGATACGAATTATGGTAGTTTTGGTATTGAAAAGTAAACATTTGGAGTATTTTAATCTATTAGTTCAAATGAAGAGCGATATTTTCTGCTGTGTGTAGCACACTTCCAAATAGTGAATGTGCAGTTTGTACTTCGTTGTTTCCAACTTACAGGTACTTAGTCACAATCTTTGTACTACGCAAAAGAAGAGACATATCATTTATTTTAGTATTTTATGTTTTAAACTGTTTTGCCTTTATTTATCACTCTTGGCTAAATCTATTTTCATTTAAATGCATTTGTCATCTAACACGACTAGTGCGTCAGAAAGTTGTATGGGGTATGTGATCGACGGAAGTCAGTGAAGAGAAAATGGGTAAAAACGCATCCTCTTGATAGATTTGCTTCTCTTACTAGCCAATTCCGTTCTTTCGCATTTTCTTTTCTCGTCATTCGTAAGAATGGTGAGCCCCCAATATAATACGAGCGTATGAGTTTTAAATTTTTATGAAAGAAAAAAGCTCATCGAAAGCATCTGTCTAGAATACCTCCATAGCCTTGACGTTTATAAAAAAAGCATTCAAAGCTTTTCAGCAGAATACAGAATCCATGAATCCCAGACGAGGAACGACTTCAAGATGCGATCGACTTCGACAGATATCATGGCAGGAAGCGACTATATGTGTCTTGTCTTATTTATGACAAGAAAGTTTCAAAATAAGCGATATGAAACTAGAATGTCCCACCAGTCCGGATCGATCAGGGGTTCGCAGGACTGCTCTTTTATAGAACCTCAATAACGTCATGGTGAGTCCGTATCGGTGTAAAGAAAAAGTCGAAATCAAATGATATTTGCCTAACACAATCACTTAAACTTAATGTTAAGTGAATTAGGTGTTAAGTAATAAAATTGAACTTAATTTTGAGTTATGTTAAGTGGTTCATCCCTACTCAGAAGATTAATTGATGACTCCGAAAAATTTGATTTCCTCAAGAGCTACCTATTCGTAAGGGAATAGAAACTCGTTGGAATCATCCAATTACAGATAATTCGCCTGTAATTCTGTTGTTGTGTGACAACAAAAAGCTTATAATAGGAAAAACAGCTTTTTATTTTAATTGAAGAAGTTGCATAACACAGTTTCCTAGTCGATCCTACAAATATGTTCAATCTAATTCAATCTGCAAAATTCTACCTGATCCTTACTTATCCTCGGGTACGATAAGTTTGAGTTTCTAGACACTGGTTGACGATTTATCTACAGGTCCAACAATTTCATTGAAGGATACAGATAACTAAATAATATAAGTTTTTTAACTTTGTTTATCAATGTTTTCAATGAGCCTTATTCCCAATCAACTTGTTGGTCACGAACATGTATAAAAAATGGTCGCTGACTATACTGTTTGTTGTGTTAATGGCGGTCTTTTTTTTTCAACTTTCTTTTGCAATCGCCATGCTAACATACGTTAGCAAGACGATTCACAAAACAAGATGAAAGAAAAAAGATTGGCCTTGGCAACAAAGAATATAGTCAATAGCTTCTTTCATACATGTTCGTGGCCAACAAGAGAATTGAGAACAAAGCTCCTTAAAAGTTGCTTTACATACTGAAGACGAATCTATGTCATTAGCTAAAAATTTGCATAATCTTCTAATGGAAAAGTAG